CGAACAAGAGCGGTCGGTTCGGGCCCAAGCGGAGATGGCTTGAGTACAAGCAGAGGCTGCACGAGAGCAAGCAGAGGCTATTTGAGCACAAGCAGAGGCTGCTCGAGCACAAGCAGAGGCTGCTCGAGCCGAGCTGGAGGCTACCTTAGCCAAAGAAAGGGTTGCCCATGCCGGTCAATGTAAACACTATGCTGATGCCGCTGCTCTCCGAGCTCGGCAAATGATGTGGGTTACCACCACTGGACAACTTTTCCTTCGCGAATGCCGCGAGCAAGTGGTGGCCGACTATATGCGGTCACCACAATTTTTGAAGGAGGTGCAAGACTTTGGGGTGGACTGTTTTAAGTTCGCCCTTCAGAAGGCCGGCGAGCAAATCGCCGAAGACGATTTCGAGCAGCTGGACCCTGGGGCTATCTGGGAGGCATTGCCCAAGGTTCCCTCTAGCTTCCAAGGTGATCCTAACTTACCGCCTGAGCACGAGTGGTGGTCGGGGTTGCTTGAAAGGATTCTGGCTCGATCAGATATCTTGAAGAAAACTTATGCTCTGCCTAATGGTATAACTCCTCCAGCTCCGATGCTGGCCGCGTTGGCTGAGCCTATTCGACAATGTCCTCTTAATGAAGCTTGTGACTCGACCTCTTGGACCAGCCATCTGCCCGAGCCTAATGCTAATCAGAGCAACGCAGACTCGACCGCAACTCCTCCTCCTGAGATTTAGCTTTGTTGTTTCCGCTTTATCTGTTTTGAATCTGAGCTATGTACTCCTGACAATATTTCATGGTTTATTGGAATATGAATGTTTTTCTTAATTCGTCTTTATTGTCGACGATCTTCTGAATGAGCTGATTTGATGTTCTTGTATGTCTCTTTAACGATTCTTCTCGTTAATTATGCCAGTGTATTTGCTTTGTATTCGATTCATTATCCAAATTTTTGCTATAATACGCATCACACATACATTGCACCTTTCACACAAGGTATTTAAACATGATGGGTTTTAGATTTTTGAACACATTCCCACCTTCAGAGGTGGTCGAAACATGCGACCACCCAGCCTCACGGCCTTAAACATGACGGGTTTTAGATTTTTTAACATATGCCCACCTTCAAAGGTGGTCGAAACATGCGACCATCCAATCTCACGGCCTTAAACATGATGGGTTTTAGATTTTTGAACACATGCCCACCTTCAGAGGTGGTCGAAACATGCGACCATCCAGCCTCACAGCCTTAAACATGACGAGTTTTAGATTTTTGAACACATGCCCACCTTCAGAGGTGGTCGAAACATGCGACCACCCAGCCTCACGGCCTTAAACATGATGGGTTTTAGATTTTTGAACACATGCCCACCTTCAGAGGTTTTTGAAACATGCGACCATCTAGCCTCACGGCCTTAAACATGACGGGTTTTGGATATTTGAACACATGCCCACCTATTGAGATGGTCGAAACATGCGACCATCCAGCCTCACGGCCTTAAACATGATGGATTTTAGATTTTTGAACACATGCCCACCTTCAGAGGTGGTTGAAACATGCGACCATCCAGCCTCACGGCCTTAAACATGACGGGTTTTAGATTATTGAACGCATGCCCACCTTCAGAGATGGTCGAAACATGCGACCATCCAACCTCACGGCCTTAAACATGATGGGTTTTAGATTTTTAAACACATGCCCACCTTCAGAGGTGGTCGAAACATGCGACCATCCAGCCTCACGGCCTTAAACATATTGGATTTTAGATTTTGAACACATGCCCACCTTCAGAGATGGTCGAAACATGCGACCATCCAGCCTCACGGCCTTAAAAATGATGGATTTTAGATTTTTGAACACATGCCCACCTTCAGAGGTGGTCGAAACATGTGACCATCCAGCCTCACTGCCCTAAACATTACGGGTTTTAGATTTTTGAACACATGCCCACCTTCAGAGATGGTCGAAACATGCGACCATCCAGCCTCACGGCCTTAAACATGATGGTTTTTAGATTTTTGAACACATGCCCACCTTCAGAGGTGGTCGAAACATGCGACCATCCAGCCTCACGGCCTTAAACATGATGGATTTTAGATTTTTGAACACATGCCCACCTTCAGAGGTGGTCGAAACATGCGACCATCCAGCCTCACGGCCTTAAACATGATGGATTTTATATTTTTGCACCGTTTCATCTCTCTTTACTTCTTTATCCTAGCGCTCGTTCATTGGGTGCTTGGTCGCCGGGTTTCGAGGTCCCGCTCATCTTGACTCTTTGGTCTTCGTATTCCCTCACCAGGCTTCCAGGTCTTGGCCGCGGGGAATCTGTCTTCACACTTGCCCACCCACGAGGAATGTTCTAAACAGGAGGTCACCCAGCCCAAGGGCGTGAGTAATCGACCAACCTGCCCACCCCAAGGGATGTTCTAAACAAGCGAACACCCAGCCCGAGGGCCTTAGTCATGCTGGGTTTTGGTCTTCACACTTGCCCACCCACGAGGAATGTTCTAAACAGGAGGTCATCCAGCCCGAGGGCGTGAGTAATCGACCAACCTGCCCACCTCAAGGGATGTTCTAAACAAGCGACCACCCAGCCCGAGGGCCTTAGTCATGGTGGGTTTTGGTCTTCACACTTGCCCACCAGCGAGGAATGTTCTAAACAGGAGGTCACCCAGCCCGAGGGCGTGAGTAATAGACCGACCTGCCCACCCCAAGGGATGTTCTAAACAAGCGACCACCCATCCCGAGGGCCTTAGTCATGGTGGGTTTTGGTCTTCACACTTGCCCACCCGCGAGGAATATTCTAAACAGGAGGTCACCCAGCCCGAGGGCATGAGTAATCGACCAACCTGCCCACCCCAAGGGATATTCTAAACAAGCGACCACCCATCCCGAGGGCCTTAGTCATGGTGGGTTTTGGTCTTCACACTTGTCCACCCGCGAGGAATGTTATAAACAGGAGGTCACCCAGCCCGAGGGCGTGAGTAATCGACCAACCTGCCCATCCCAAGGGATGTTCTAAACAAGCAAACACCCAGCCCGAGGGCCTTAGTCATGGTGGATTTTGGTCTACACACTTGCCCATCCGCGATGAATGTTCTAAACAGGAGGTCACCCAGCCCGAGGGCGTGAGTAATCGACCAACCTGCCCACCCCAAGGGATGTTCTAAACAAGCGACCACCCAGCTCGAGGGCCTTAGTCATGGTGGGTTTTTGTCTTCACACTTGCCAACCCGCGATGAATGTTCTAAACAGGAGGTCACCCAGCCCGAGGGCGTGAGTAATCGACCAACCTGCCCACCCCAAGGAATATTCTAAACAAGTGACCACCCAACCCGAGGGCCTTAGTCATGTTGGGTTTTGGTCTTCACACTTTCCTACCCGCGAGGAATGTTCTACACAGGAGGTCACCCAGCCCGAGGACGTGTGTAATCGATCAACCTTTCCACCCCAAGGGATGTTGTAAACAAGTGACCACCCAGCCCGAGGGCCTTAGTCATGGTGGGTTTTTGTCTTCACACTTGCCCACCCGCGAGGAATGTTCTAAACAGGAGGTCACCCAGCCCGAGGGCGTGAGTAATCGACCAACCTTCCCACCCCAAGGGATGTCCTAAATAAGCGACGTTCAAGTTAAACCGCACCATGTTCCTTCCTGTCATCCAACCATACCAACATTCCAAACATAAGAAAATGTGCAGTGCAACAAGTAATACGAAAGGATAACTGAATTTCATTAACTTTTTTGCGCAAACTTTGCAAGTTACAACTTTTTTCGTAATTCCAGGATTCCTTTGCAAAAAGTAAAAAAAATTCTACACATAATATTTTTTCAAATTAGCTATGTTCCATGACCTGACAAGCGATCGGCCTTCCGCATCTTTTAGCGAGTACGCTCCTCCTGCGTGCACTCGTTCCACCAGGTATGGTCCTTCCCAGTTCGGCTCTAGCTTTCCCACATGCTTGAGCACATCGACACGTTTCCAAACCAGATCGACTACTTGGAGTTTACGAATTTTCACCTTTTTGTCATGAGCGGCTCGCATCCTTTGCTTGTATGCCTCCACCATGACCGCTTCTCTCCCACGTAGATCCTCGATGGTGTCTAGGGCCACCATCATTAGATACTCGTTCTGCTCAGTATCATATGTGCTCGACCTCTCGGATGATAACTCAACCTCGACTGGCAGCAACACTTCCATTCCATAGGCTAAACTGAAGGGAGTTTCTTCTGTTGTCGACCTCGGGGTTGTGCGATACGCCCAAAGTACTGAGCTCAACTCATCGAACCATGCCCCCGAGGCCTTTTCCAGCTTTGTTTTCAGCCCATTCAGTATAATTTTGTTGGTTACTTCGACCTGGCCGTTGGCTTGCAGATGAGCGACGGAGACAAAGTGTTGCTCGATTTTCATGTCTTCACACCACGCTCGGATCCGCTTGCCATTGAACTGAGTGCCATTGTCGGAAATCAACACTTTGGGCACGCCAAACCTACAGCAAATGTTGTTGTATATAAATTTAATTACTTTCTCCTCCGTGATATTCGCCAAAGGTTCGGCCTCCACCCACTTTGTGAAATAATCCACTGCTACTATCAAGAACTTCCTCTTTCCATTTCCCTACGGCATCGGCCCCACCAGGTCGATTCCCCACTGGGCAAATGGTATAGGGGCACTCATCGTCGTCATCGTCTCTGTCGGTTGATGGATAAGTGGACCGTGCTTTTGGCATTGTAAGCATTTCTTCACCATCGCCTTCGCATCCTCTCTCATCGTCGGCCAGAAATATCCTGCCCCCAAGATTTTCGCCACCAAGGCCCCTGACTTACTATGGTCACTGCAGCACCCTTTGTGCATTTCTTTCAGCACATATCGACCTTCCTCCTTAGTAACACAATGCAAGTGTGGTCCCGCATACGATCGCTTGTAAAAAATGCCCCAATGCTCAAAAAATCTCCTCACCGCTTGAATCATTCCTGCTTTCAACTCCTCTAAGATCGGGGCCCTTCAATCCTCCACTTCCTCAATCTCCGCCACTTCCGCTTCGACTGCACTCTTTTCGAGAAGCAATAGAGTAACACTACTGCTCCTACAGTCCACTAAGCTTTGAGCAATTTTCGATAACAAGTCTGCTCGACCATTTTCTCCTCGAGGGATCTGTATTAGCTCGAATGAGTCAAACTCCTCTTTCAACTTCCTCATCTCGTCTATATATTTCCGCATCCGGTCCTCTTTGACTTCGAATCCCTCCTGAAACTGCCCGACCACCAGTTGAGAATTAGAATGCACTTGTACTCTTCGGGCTCCTCCCGCCTTAGCCAAACTCAGACCTTTGATCACCGCCTCATAACCGACCTCGTTATTAGATATCCTGAACCCCACCTTGGCCGCAAATTCTAAGTAATCGCCTTTGGGAGAGACCAGGACAATTCCCAATCTGGCTCCACTTTTTGCCACAGATCCATCCACAAACAACTGCCACTCTGCCCCTAACTCCTCCTCGACCTTAGTGCCTTCCTGGATAAAATCGGCCAACACCTGCGCCTTTATGGCCCTCCAAGTCCCACTAAATGTGTGTAAATCCTTAATCGATGATTTCTGATTAAAGAGAGTAGTCAATGAGTCCATATGCCTTATTTGAGAGTTTCTCAAGTGGGCAAATTGGGAGTTTCGTATTGCTATTGGTCAATCTTTATATTTAAACATAAGGGCTGCATTCGACTCATGGAGTCGATATCTTGAGAGTATGAGCATCTTGGGTCATACGTATTGCGAGCATGATAGTGTCGTGTTGTATGTGTGGTACCATGTCATAGCCTCCGATGGAGACACACGGTCCATGATAAAACTTTAAGCAAGTTATCAGTATGAATCAGACACGAGACTGAAACTTAGTGTCACGTGTCCACCTTGTTGGTGAGATAGTCGGAGTACGATGGAAATACACCGAACGACCTGTGGAGGTCTTGTGTGTTGTTAGGTACGAAGTTAATTGTTGATAGTCAAAGGTATAGGCCATGCCGGACTGGGTTCCTTGCAAGAGGATGTGCGCCTGAGCTCGGGCAGGATTGATCATCCTCTCATGCAAGAAGGTATACATATGAGCATATGGCGAGTCGGAGTGGGTCATGTATGTGAGTGTATACTTTTCGAGTATAGGATGATATGACTAATGCGAGCGGAATCGGATTCTGAAGGAGATAACCGAATCTCATGATTGATAATTTCTGTTCCAGTCTATCGTTTTCCTTTAGATGCGTGTTCTTCGTATTTCTCAGGACGGAAATATTTTAAGTAGGATAGATTGTAGCGCCATGTTCGATTTATAGAATTTCTCGGAAATATTTATTCTTGATTGTCAACCGGTTAAACATGTGCAACCGAACCCATGTGCACACCCTAGTAGGTAGATTAGGCCACTAGAACTCAGAATGGAATTACGCACCTGAACTGGCCACCATTCTAAGCGGAACTGGATATACATACCTTGAACATGATAGTTATAATTATACTCAATGTAATACTCAGTCTGAGTTTCCACCTGAACTGCTAGTCTGAAACTGTAAGTGCTGTTGCTGATCAGACTGTAGAAATATATATAATAAACAAACTTAATTACTATGCTCAGACTAATTACAAATAACTGCTAAGATGCTCGACTCGAACTTAAATATTTAACTGGATTTACTGAAATAATCAGGGGCTTTAACTTGACTAATAAATCTGTACTGAACTGGAAACATTGAACTGTACTGACTAGACTAAAAATACTAAACTAAACTGAAATAGTGAACTGACTGGATTGACTGATCTGACTGAACTGGGACTGGGTCATTGAGTCCTGAACTGCTCAAGTAACCGGTCTAAACTGGCCAGTTTACTGGCTGGCCGGACCGCCGGCTTGCTGTGGCCGGGCAGTCGGCCGCTGGCTGGGCTACCGGCACGGTCGCACACA